GCGGCACGGTCAATCATTCTCGATCACCCTGTATAAGACCAGCCATAATTATGAAAATCATATGTACATAAAAAGTTTTAAAAACTCTTATAGACCAAGGCCGATCTGTTTTGAAGTGGATGTGAGAGATGGCAAGCAATTTTTTTTTTGGATTACCTTCAGTACAACCAAAGGTACAACTCACATAATAAAAGTGTAGATCGCTAGATCTGGGCGAGGTCCGGAACATTTTCAAAATTGCAAAAATGTTTTAAAAATATTAAAAAATGACTATTTTATCTGTTTTTTACTTATATCTTGGAACCTATGCATTTTGGAAGAATATTGAAATGGAAAAAAGTTTTAGAATTGAATTCTGAACAATATACTGCAAGTTAAAAATGTTTAAAATTTATTACCGATGTTGCAAAATAACAATAATAATTCATGAAAAAATGGCAAAATAAAGTTTTTTGGATCATTTTTGTTTAATATTTTAATTGCTCCGAGGGCATTCTAATTGACAAAAAAAACTTTAGGGTATGATGAAACAACACACCAAATTTCATTAAAATCGGTTCGATAGTTTTCCCAAAACAATTTTTTGAAAAAAATGTTTAAAAACAATTTTCGAAATTTTAAAATGTTGCACAGCCTCATCTGCTTTCCCCGCTGGTTAGTAGATATAACATTTTTTGAAACACCCTGTACTTTGATTTTTAAACACCCTGTATATAAAAGTATGATGAGAATGTTTTTCAAAAAAGAGTCGGCCCCGCTCGAGAAAAGAATAAGAACAGTTTCTTCCAAACTTCCAAAAAGGCATCTGGTTAGTAAATATAAAATTTTTCAACCAAAAACTACGTAGGTAAGGCAGAAATGGTAAAAAAATAAGTTAAGACATCGATCTGCTTGATAAATATACAAATTTTCATTAAAAGACTGTAGTAAATAAAGACAAAGCTAAAAGTGAAAAGAAACAAAACTGCCCTTAATTCTACAGAACATCTAGTATATGAATTTATAAAAAAGCGATTTCAAAAGATTTAAAGAAAAAATTTAAAAAATGAATAAGGAAAAATTTAGTCCACCTGCGTAAATTTTAGGAAACATCCTGTACATAAATTGCAAAAAACACCTGGTTGGTAGGGTATAAGATTTTTCATAAAAATATTGCAGACTTCAGTACAAAATATGAAAATGGAAAAAACAATAAGGAGTTTTGTTCTATTCGTAATTTTTATCTGCATCAGTATTGTGGAACATCCAGTATAAAGATTCAAAAAGACATCAGGTTAATAATTATATAAATTTTAATTAAAAGATGTTAGTAAATAAAGACAAAGTTAAAAGTGAAAAGAAAAAAAATTGCCCGTAATTTGGACCTGGGTCAATTCTGTGGAATATCTAGTACCTATATGGATTTTCAAAAAAAAAAAAAATGACTGGTCAGTAAATATACAACTTTGCTTCAGAAGATTTAAAAAAAATGAACAAAATGAAAAACCTAGTCCACCTGTGTCAGTTTAATGAAACACCCAGTACATAAATTGCAAAAAACATCTGGTTAGTAGGGTATATCCGCAACATTTTCTTCTGAAAAATGTGCACATATAAAAAATCTTGGCAGGCCATGTTTTCGTGGCAATAGAGAATTGATATTTGTATTGCACGAAAAACCAGACACACTGTATATAACTAGTTGTAGTAATCGAGCTGATTCTCTAACTTGTTATGATTTTCATTCTAAGCAATACACATTCAGGTTTTTATAAACTTTTATTATTTTTTAAATAACTATTAACAAACAAACACTAATTTTCCTCGTAAAATATCGTGGGATCTGCGAAATTATGAACGCTTTCATCGAAAATGTCCTCAGGAGTACTCGCATCCACCTCCGCGAGGAATGTGGGGAAAGGGACCGGGTTGCTGGGTTTCCTCAAAGGCAGCTTCGTATCGAAAACGTACACGATCGAATTCGTCTCTCCCGGAATGGCTTGACCCGACACCCAGAGAACGTTGTACTTGGTGTTTATCCTAAATATTTTCAGACCTTTGGCAACGCGGTACCTGTTGCCCATGTGCCCCGGCATTTTTGTACCAGGCCACACCCGTCCCTTCTCCCCGCCTCCCCCGATGTTTCCACCACGACGGTGGGTCTTTGTGACACCGTGCGATGCCGGCATGCCTTTGAAACCGTGGCGCTTCATCACCCCCTGGAAACCCCGATCCATTCTGCAATTAAATTGAATTAATTTTTTGTGATTTCAGTTTGAATTTACTTACGTTTTCCCTCGAACATCAACGTAATTGCCGACTTGGAAATGCAAGGCATGTATATGTGTTCCTAACGGTAAAATTGCATCGGGACTCACAAAAAACCTTCCCAGGAATTTCTTCGGCATCACGCCGGAGTCCTTAAACAGTCCACAGTATTCTCGGGTGAAGTGTGTAGGGTCTGCTTCTTCGGCACCCACAAGAAGGCAGCCCTTTGGGTTATATACTTTCTCTACCCTTTTTCTCGGAGGATCATATTCTCCCGGAGTATAGTAGCGGATGACGTGGTTATCCAACACCTATAAACTTCTATTTATGCAAACTATTACAGATAAATAATATTTCGTACCTGTAACAGCGTGGTACTGATCTTTTTCCCATCCTTAAGCCATAAAGGATACACGCCGATTTTTCTTGCAATAACGCCGGTTCGCTGCAACTTAGGTGTCCATTCTATATTGGTGATTAAGTCTTTTTGATGTGGTAGTTGTTTGCTGTACACATCGTTTACAACTTCTTTCACAAACTCTTTATTTTCAGGTGTTATTTGTTCATCGGATTTCTAAAATAAATAGAAAATCGTTTTCTTTTCAGTTTATCAATGCTTTGCCTTTTGTACTTACTGACTTGTCCTTCTTTGTCAACCATGTAGGATTTCTGAGCCTTGGAGGAGGGTTTAGATGTTTTTCTCTAATTTGAGGAACAGTACAAGTTATACTAAAAAAAATAAAATACGATATGGCAACAAATATTGACAGTTAATTGAAGCACTGTACCTTAATGCTAGAAATTTTTGTTCTAAACATCTAAAGCAAGATTTATTAAATATATTTGATATAGAAATTGCCATTTTATTCTTAACCTTTAACCTAACTTTCTGATATAATTCTGATGTTTATTTTATAATCGAAACTTTTTTCTTTATTGTGTTGTTGGTTGTTGGTCATCCTAAGCAGTTTTGCCAATATGAAAACAATTAAATGCCTGTGTTTAAAATAATATTTTTAATTTTAATACCAACCCTGCATGCGAAAGTAGTACCAATAGCAATAAAATGGTCTTGCACATCAAACATCACTAAAATAAATATATCAAAATATTTATAAGTATAAATTCGATAAAATGCTATTTTACTGTAATAGCCATCTTCATCTGTAAAAAGGGCATTAGAAATTTACCTTTTAACATATAATTAATGCAAGGTTGACTTTGAGCCAGCCTCATTTAGAAGATTGAATAATCATATCACTTATCCAACATTGATAACCCACTGATAGAGTCCAAAATGCCACCGAAAAAGAAAAAATCGACTGTAAGCCCAATTGTGGTAGGAACAGTATCTACCAGATCAACCCGGAGGCAAAGTGTCGTGAACATAGAAATTCCAAAATCGAGTAGAACTCCAGTTAAACATACTTTTAAAGCTCCTAGTGATGGCACTCCAAAAGGAAATAGTGAACTTTCAGCGGTCGAAAGCCTTTCAGAAAAAATTAAGCAAACTTATAATAAAATGCTTAATAGAATCTTAGAACCGTCCATTCAAACGTCTCTAAAACAGTCACCTCTCCTAAAAAATGACAACAGTAAATTTTCCAAGCCTCAAAGAGAATCTACATTAAACATTAAATCGAAAGTAAAGAGTAATGAAGCTTTATTGCAAATTTTGGAAGATTGGACTGACGACGAAAGTCAGGATGACAAAAAAGAATCTTCAGAGTCAGAGCCTGGAACAGAAAATGTTCAAGAAACTGTTAATAGCGATGAAAGTGAAGGTACTATTTCCGATTTGGTGTCTTTGATTCAACGTCAACCTGAAATTATTGCAGAAAGTGTAACGGAAATTTCTCCAAATCAGTATCAAATATCTGTTGAGGAACAAGAAAGTATTCAAAAAGAAGTGGAAATTAAAATAGAAGAAATGTCCAAACCAGACAACTCAGAAGCTGAAGTAATTCAGGCGTACATTATAGAAGAAAACGAATCTCTTCCTATAGAAGAGCACGTAGAAGAAATTGTTGCATTCGACGAGGAAAATATCGTCGAATGTGTGACTGAGGAAGTTATTACAGACAACGATCAATTCGTTTTAATGGATTCCGCTGAAGACAGTCCAGCAACCGTTTTTGAAATCACTCAACAAGAATTTCCGCCATTACAAGAAACAAATAAAAGTGAATTTATTGCTACCATCTTGCCAACTTCGGAAAAGTTGGCAAGGGGAAACAAAGAAATTATAGCGGATAATTATATTGTGGAAGAGACCAGTCAATCTGTTTCTACCACCGATTCTAATGATGCAGAGGTGCGAAGTTTTTTTACCAAAGAAATAGAAAGTAATAAGACGGTTAAGGAGGAAGACATACCGATCTTAGAATATGAAGTAGAACAGTCAAGTTCCAGCAATGAGAATGCAGATTCTGTAGGTTCGATATTCGAAGAAAACGTTGAAAGTGAAGCTCTAGTAGAGACTGGGATAAACGTAGCAACTTCGGAAGAATATAAGAGAAGATCAGCCAACAACTCTGACAGTTTTGAAGGAGACAATAAATTAAAAAGTGTTCCTACAGAAAAATCATTCTTAGAAGAACACGACACTGTTAAGGGTGAAGGTGATGTTGCAATTGAAGATACGGCTTCAAGTAAGGAAACTGTTGAAGCGATGGATGTTGCAGAAGATACAAGTGAAGATACCATAGAAAATAAAGTTGCTCAGATGCATTTGGTAGACGAAATTATAAAAGAAGAAGATACGAGCGAGGAACTGACAGAAATGTTTAATAAATCTACCGTCGATTTGAATTATTCTCTGAAGGAAGACATCGAGGAAGTAATTGGTGTAAAAGCCAGTCGTGGGTATTCAAAAGGTCAAATTAAACAGGAAGACGAAGATGAATGTTTGAAGAAACTATCGGACAGTTTAGATTTATTAACCGAGAGACCCAAAACTCGTAGAACTAGAACTATCGATACTAAAACAACACCGAAAGAAGTCGAGGAACTGTCGGAGACAAAATCAATTAAAAATGCCAAATCTAAAGAAAAAAAAATTACTAAAACCAAAGATAACAAATCTAGGGAGCCAAAATCCTTGAAAGAAGCGAGGAATAGAAAGAAATCTACTCCTCCCCAGCTTGTTAAAAAAGTAAAGGAGAAAGTTGAGAAGAAGGAGGGGGGAAAGGCTGACAAAAAAGATGCCGGTAAGAAAATCACGAAAAACGATAGCGATCAACTAAAAAGATCCTCGAAATCTGATAACACAGACTCCGAGGATACTGAAGTTCGTCGTTCTAGCAGAATAAAATCCATAAGTGTCTTGAAAAAGAAAACGACAGGCCACGGTTTGGTAAGATCGAAATCCGAGCCAATACTCAACGAATCCGACGTTTCCGATAGCAATTCCACTCATACAGAGTCAGAGAAGAGTACACCATCGGCATCTCCCAAAGTCGTATTGAAAGATAGAAAAACTAGGTGGGCAAAGTCCACTGAAAATTTGTGCGATTCACAAAATACAACTGACTCAGTAACAAAAGGTGATAATCAGTTGTCCGAAGTAACCAGGATGGAAGTTGACGAAAAACCTAAATTACCCGTTAGAGATCCTGTGGTAACGGCAAGGCTCAAGCAATTCGTACACTTGAAGGAGAACATGTACAAAACCGACAGGATGACTTGCAAAGAGGCGAAGAAGATGACTTGCGATTGCTTTCTGACAACTGAGGAGATTGAGTCCAACGAGTACGGTTGCGGGGAAGATTGCCTGAATAGGTTGCTGCTGATAGAATGGTTCGTACATTTTTTTTTTGTTAATTTTTGTTTTTTTTTATGTAGCACCATTCTTTATTTTAGTTTTATATTGAACACTTGCAAATGCTTTGTCACAGACAAACGGTTTCAAAAGAGCGAAATTTTTGCAAATTTGAATATATTTTTTTGTTAAATAAGCAATTTTTAACATTTTTAAATTTTAGTGGTAATCGAGGCGGTAATTTGGTCAAGTACAAATAAATGGTTTCAAAATGCCCAATTTGAATATATTTTTTTAATTGAGCAAATTTTTACATTTATTAAATTGTAGCTGTAACTTATGTCAGTTCAGAGAAGTGTATAAATAAACGGTTTCAAAAGGGCAACATTTTTGCAAATTGGAATATATATTTTTGTTAAATAAGCAATTTTTAACATTTTTTAATTTTAGCGGTAATTTGTGTCAAGTGTAAATAAGTAAACGGTTTCAAAGGGCCAGTTTGAATACCTTTTATTTTGTTAATTTTTATGATTCTTTGGTTATCGGACACAACACATCATTTGATTTTTATATTGAATTCTTGCAAATGCTTTGCATTCATAAAACTCCTTTATATTTTTTATTTTTAGTGGTAATTTGTGTTAAAAAACAAATGTGCAAATAAACAGTTTCAAAGTGGCCAATTTGAATACATTTTTTTGTTAATTGAGCAAATTTTTACATTTATTAAATTGTAGCAGTAATTTATGTCAGTTCAGAGACAAGTGTATAAATAAACAGTTTCAAAAGGGCAAAATTTTTTTTGTTAAATAAGCAATTTTTAAAATTTTTTTATTTTAGCGGAAATTTATGTCAAGTGCAAATAAACGGTTGCAGAGGGCCTATTTGAATGCTTTTTTTTGTTAATTTTTATGAATCTGCGTATAGGGCACAACATGTCATTTGATTTTTATATTAAATTCTTGCAAATGCTTTGCATTCATAAAACTCCTTTATATTTTTTATTTTTAGCGGTAATTTGTGTTAAAGAACAAATGTGCAAATAAACGGTTTTAAAGTAACCAATTTGAATAATTTTTTTTGTTAATTGAGCAAGTTTTTGTATTTTTTAAATTGTAGGAGTAATTTGTGTCATAAACGGTTTCAAAAAGGCCAAATTTTTGCAAATTTGAATTTATTTTTTTGTTGAATTTGCAATTTTTAACATTTTTTAATTTTAGCGGTAATTTGTGTCAAGTGCAAATAAACGGTTCCAAAGGGCCAAGTTGAATATCTTTTTTTTTTGTTAATTTTTATGAATCTTTGTTTATAGGACACAAACATCATTTGATTTGTCAGGAATTCGTGTTAAGGATGTGCAAATAAATGGTTTCAAAGTTTTTACATTTATTAAATTGTAGCAGTAATTTGTGCCATTTCAGAGACAAGTGTATAAATAAACGGTTTCAAAAGGTCAAAATTTTTGCAAATTTGAATATACCTTTTTGTTAAATAAGCAATTTTTAACATTTTTTGATTTTAGCGGTAATTTGTGTCAAGTCGGAGACAGGTGTACAAATAAACGGTTTCAAAAGGGCCAATTCGCCCCAGTGGAAGTTTTCAACGCGGATAAGAAAGGACTTGGTTTGAGAGCAGCCGCAAACATACCATAGTAAGTGTCTTACTTTAAACGATTTAAAAAACCCTAATACCCAATTTACAGCGGTGAATTCATATTGGAATATGTCGGAGAAGTCTTAAATTGTGACGAATTTGATAAAAGGGCGGAAGTTTATTCTGAGGATAAGAATATCCATTATTATTTCATGTCTTTAAGAGCCGATGCCATCATCGACGCAACAATGAAAGGTATCGATGAACCATAATGAACAGCAAACATTTGTTGATCAATAAAACTACAAAAATATCACATTATTCGTTTTTAGGAAACATTTCCAGATTTATTAATCATTCCTGTGACCCGAACGCTGAGACTCAGAAATGGACGGTGAACGGAGAGCTGAGAATAGGTTTTTTCAGCACCAGGACGATATTGGCCGGCGAAGAGATTACGTTCGATTACAGATTTCAAAGATACGGGTGAATTATAAGATTCTTCCATAACTTCACGAAATTAACGTTCTCCTTTTAGAAAGGAGGCCCAGAAGTGCTATTGCGAGGCGGCGATATGCCGGGGCTGGCTTGGCGAACAACCCGACGAAGACTCCGAAGACGAGGACGAAGAAGAAGAGGAGGAGGAAGAGGAAGCCGAAGAAACAGTAGCCGTTGCTAAAGCAGAGGTTCCCACACCGGAAGCGGTTGAAATGAAGACGATCGAGGATGACACGAAGATGGAAGTTGTGGAGGAAGGCGTACCTACGGATATTAAAGTTGAAAAGGTTGAAACTGAACCAGTAACCGTTACGGTTACTCCCAAGAGGAAATCGCCACGTAAAAAACCGAGGAAAGACCTGTTTGAAGAGTTGGATGTAAGCTAGAAATAATTCGATACTTTGTGACGTTAAATTTTGTTGTTTTTTAGCAATTGGACGAGGAAATAGAAATGCTGATTACGACTGGGCTGAAAAATCAAGCTCACACATTAAAGCTGAGTCGACTAATGGTGAGGGCGAAAGAACCGCCTCAGAGGACGAAACTGTTGCGGATTTTGAGGAGAGGCGAGCTGCCGTGCAGAAGATTGTTCTTGGATTATCATGGATTGAGATTGATGCACGGCTATATGATAGATGCTCAGCATTTGGTGCACAACGATAAAAAATACGAATCCCTGAGGTGAGAGAATCGATATAATTGAAAAAAACATTTTAATAATGTCAAATAATTTTTTTTTCCAGGCTTGAAATGCTTCAGACGTTGGCCGTCCTCCCGATTCCCAACAAAACAATGCTACAAGACAGTAAAGTGTTACCGACGGTAGAAAAGTGGGCCACAGACAAAGACCTCGGTTCGCCCCAAGACTCCGACAGCAACTCGCCCAAGACCGAACAAGACGTCCCTCAACCTCGCCCTCCCTTGGAAGAAACGAACAAAGACAAGGTTAAAGATCCGAGGAAAATGGATGTCGAACCGAAGAAAGAAGAGGAAAAATCAGACCGTAGCATAGAAGACCAAGAGGAGGAAATCCGGTTCTTGGCGTCGAAACTCCTGGAGGGCTGGGCCAACTTAAAGGAGGTGTTCCGGATCCCGAAGAAGGAGAGGATCGAGCAGATGAAGGAGCACGAGAGGGAGGCGAACAAGAAATTCATGCAGGGCGGCTACGGCAACGAACCGGACAGCGGGCGAAAGAGCGACAGGTACCGCCACCTGTCCAGGTATAAAACGGAGAGGGAAATCTTCAGGAAAGGGTCCAAGTCGGAGGAGAAGCCGAGCGCCGAATTTATAAGACTGAGCAAGATCGAACGGAGGAAGTTGTTTGCTCTCCAGCACGAATTGAAGGAGGAGGAACGCAGGTTGAAGCAAAGGGAGATGTGGAGGCAGCACGAGCTGAATTGCATGTTGATAGGGACGGATCCCAGGTTTACGGCACCTTTTGACCCCAGTAGAGGGTACCAGTGCATTTGGAATCCCCAAATAGGTGAGATAAGGGCCAACAAATATATTTCTCGTTTTTCCAGCTTATTAATTAAAATTTCCGATTTACAAGTGGGATATATGGGAAAAATATAATTCCGAGTTCCAACTAAGAAAAATTTAACTTACAAGTGAGAAAAATGTGAATATGAGCATTAGGTAAAAAACAATCCAACTTATAAGTCAAAATTTTTGAGCTACAATTAGGAATATTGTAATTTCAGGCATAAAAATTTGACTTGTAAGTTAGAAAAATATAATTCCGAATTGTAAATAAGAAAAATCTAAGTTTTAAAGCAGGAAAATACAATTTTGTGGTTTTAGTGAGAAAAATCCGAATTATTAAATCAGAAAAATATAATTCCGAGTTCTAAGTAAGAAAATCCGAGGTATTAAGTCAGAAAAACATAATAACCGAGTTCTCTGACAAAAAATCCGACTTATTAAGTCAGAAAAATATAATTCCGAGTTCTAAGTAAGAAAATCCGACTTATTAAGCCTCAAAAATATAATTCAGAATTGTAAATAAGAAAAATCTAAGTTCTAAAATGGGAAAATACAATTTTGTGGTTTTATTGAGAAAAATCTGAATTATTAAATCAGAAAAATATAATTCCGAGTTCTAAGTAAGAAAATCCGACGTATTAAGTCAGAAAACATAATAACCGAGTTCTCTGACAAAAAATCCGACTTATTAAGTCAAAAAAATGTAATTCCGAGTTTTAAGTAAGAAAAATCCGACTTATTAAGTCTGAAAAACATAATTCCCGAGTTCTCTGACAAAAATCCAACTTATTAAGTCAGAAAAATATTATTCCGAGGTCTAAGTAAGAAAAGTCCAACTTATTACTGAAAGACATAATTATGGGAATTCCTGAATTCTCTGACGAAAATCTGAAACATAATTCCCGAGCTCTACGACATAAATCCGACTTATTAAGTCAGAAAAATATAATTCAGAATTGTAAATAAGAAAAATCTAAGTTCTAAAATGGGAAAATACAATTTTGTGGTTTTATTGAGAAAAATCCGACTTATTAAGTCAGAAAAATATAATTCCGAGTTCTAAGTAAGAAAATCCGACTTATTAAGTCAGAAAAACATAATAACCGAGTTCTCTGACAAATAAACCAATTTATTAAATCAGAAAAATATAATTCCAAGTTTTAAGTAAGAAAAATCCAACTATTAAGTCTGAAAAACATAATTCTCGAGTTCTCTGACAAAAATCCGACTTTTGAGTCAGAAAAATATAATTTTTTGTTCCAAATAATTGAGAAAAATATAATTCTGAACATTAGGTAAATTAAATTTTTCCCTCAAAAAAATTTTGTCAAAGCCTTAAAATACGTAATTACTTAAAACATTTATATTGAAACTTTCCATATAGGTCAGTGGCAGAATTACCCGTTACCCGCTCAAAACCAAATGATGTTCACCGCCCAGGCCCCCACCGCCAGCATGGGTGCCATGGCCAACTTAACCATGCCCCCACCGCAGTTACAGGCCGCGAAAACAGTCTCCAACTTTCCGTACTCCCAGCAAATTTCCATCGCCACTTCATTAAACGGGGCAATCGCCCAACTCCCCACCAGCATGGCTATCACTGCTCAGGTACAACCGTCGCAGCCGAGTAACGTGCCCCAGATGCACATTCAGCAGCAAGTGGTGAATAGCGTCGCGCAGATAACCTCCATGCAGGGCATCCCCGGGGCTCTGCCGCAGAATATACCCACCCATCCACTTCCTACGAGTATACCAGCTCAACCCCCACTGCCGCAGTATCCGGAGCAGGTGAAGGAAGAAGATCCCTTGCAGGTTAAATTCATGGGCCCCATCCCCCCACCCGCGAAACTACCGCCCAAGTGGAAGTGTGCCAAAGACAAGTACGGGAGACCGTATTACTACCACGTCAAGATGCGGAAAAGCCAGTGGGAGCCGCCACCCTTCATCGAACCCGTCGACGAGGCCATGGAATGTAAGTCGTATCTATATTTCGTTTCCCGTTGGACATATTTCCCTTTCCAGCCTCGGAATCCGAGACGAGCTCCGATACAAGCAGCATCAGCTCGGACACCAGTTCGGAGAACTCGGACAGCGATGACGATATCGACGACACCCGTCTCCTCTTGGAAGTAAGGAAGCAAATGGAGAAATCCGCCAAGTTGACCGTAAAATCCGTCATCCCCGAACACGTGAAAACGGAAGAGATACCAACTCCTAGTCCGGACGATAAAAATTCGGAGGACGAGATGGAGAACGACGTAGATGTGGCCGCTTCATTCCTCGACGATGACACGGAGAGGCCTTCCATAGATATAAGGCTCAAGGAGCAGTTCAATCTGTTGAAGGACGATAATCCGCCGAAAAAGAAGCGCAGGATAGGGTTGTGCGAGGAGATAATGATTAGCGTGAGTGATTTGAGTATTACTAGTCCCATTTTTTTTGCGAAAGTTTTAAATTTGTTACATGAAATAGTTTAACGAATAATGCACAGTTGTAAGATTATTATTCGTTTGTTTTGAGGTTTGTGATCATTAGCAAGCAAATTAGCTGTGCATTCCATGCAAATTTACTTTAGCAAGTTGCATTAGCAAGTGTTTGCAAATTTGCTGTGATTGTATTAATTTTTATATTCCAGCTAAGGATTCAGGGGCACTAACAAGCAAATTCTTTGGGTTCTTGCTAAATCAACTTGCTGTTGAATTTGCATTAGCAAACAAATTTAATTTAACAAGTTGCATTAGCAAGTGTTTGCAAATTTGCTGTGATTGTATTAATGTTTATATTTCAGCTAAGGATTCAGGAACACTAACAAGAAATTCTTTGAGTTCTTGCTAAATCAACTTGCTGTTGAATTTGCATTAGCAAACAAATTTACTTTAGCAAGTTGCATTAGCAAGTGTTTGTAAATTTGCTGTGATTGTATTAATGTTTATATTCCAGCTAAGGATTCGGGAACACTAACAAGCAAATTCTTTGAATTCTTGCTAAAGCAACTTGCTGTTGAATTTGCATTAGCAAACAAATTTAATTTAGCAAGTTGCATTAGCAAGTGTTTGCAAATTTGCTGTGGTTGTATTGATGTTTACATTCCAGCTAAGGATTCGGGAAGACTAGCAAGCAAATTCTGTGGGTTCTTACTGTTGCATTCATAAAAAAACACATATTTGTAGCTAATTTACTCTAGCAAGCGTTTGCAAGACTACTCGGAGATTTGCATGTTTATCTTCCAACCTTACAGATGTGGACACTGACAAGCAAATGGTCAGTTCTTGCTAAAGCATTAGCAAGCAAATGTACTTTAGCAAGTGCTGCACTGCATTGACTCTTAGCAAGTTTAAATCCTTGCGAGATGACTTGATTGAATTGCATATTTTTTAAGGTTTGTAGACACTAGCAAGCAAATTGTCAAGAGTTTTTGTTAAAGCAACTTGTTGCGATAACAAAAGCTACACATGTGCTTCAAATTTATTTAAGCAAGTGCTTGCAAGATTACTTGAGTAAATTGCATGAACTTAATTGTTAGAATTCATGCTAAGCCACTTGCTATTGCATTTAGCTAGCTACAGTCAGTTGCATTAACTATAACTAAAGGTTTGCGAACATAATAAAAAAAATTGCTAAATTTTTTGCTAAAGCAATTAGCCGGTGCCTTTATATTAGCTACGCATTTACATCAAATTTACAAGCAGTTCACTTTGTTTAGTTGCTTAATTTTTGTGAATCGTTTAAATTTCCTTTTGTAGCCGAGAAGCGAGGAGGATAAGCAGCAGTTCAAGGAAGACCTGAAACGGTACAAGGCGAACAAGGAGAAGCTGAAACGGCAGAAGGAGTTCATAATGCAGCAGACCCGGAAGCAGCTGAGAGAGGTGGATACGAAGAAGACACGGGACAAACGCACCCGATCGGCCCTAAAGTCCCGCATAAAGGAAATGCCGGACTTCAACAGCGAGCAGGCCAAGAAAATAAAGGAGAGCTTCAGGGCTAACATGGCGTCCACAGTGGTGGGGTCGCTTAACGCTTATCGGAAACCGGATTGCAAGGAGGGACGGATCACGAACACGGAAGACTTCAAGCATTTGGCTCGGAAGGTGCATGGGAAGAAAGTTAATTTTACGCAAATTACAATTTTTTCTTTTTTTCAGTTGACTCATTTCGTGATGCTGAAGGAGATGAAGCACATAGAGAAGATAGAAGACTTAACGTGTACAGATAACGTCAAGTCCAAAGCGAGAGAGTACATAAAGAAATACATGAGCAAGTTCGGCGAGATGTACGTGAAACGGAACGATTCCCCCGACTTCAAAGACTAACCCTCATGACGTGGATCTGTGATAACTTTTTAAAGAAACTCATTTGTGTAGAGTAGCTTTTTTATTTTGTGGGTGTTTTCCATGTATTTATTTTGTAATTATCTCCTGTATATAGTTGATGAAGTTGTAATTTCATATTTCTTAGGACGTGTAAAATAAATTGGACGAAAAATTGTTTTTAGCTTTTTCGATGTGGTATGTCTTGAAAATCGAACAACCTGGAAGTGATATTTTCACTTGTAACTTTCGAACGAATGAATTAAATGAGACGAATCAAGTAACCATTGAAAGACAAAAGTGAGTCGTTTCCAACGACATAATGAACTTTGAACTTTGGACGAAATTTGAAGTTGGCACTTGAAAGTTTGTAGAGATGGGCACTTTTCGGAAAAGTATGTTACGGATGTCGATGAAATATCCGGACATGTCAGGAAAAGTACTTTTGACCTTGAATCTAATTAGGCACCTCTGAGTGACGTCACGTCTTCACAAGTCACTGCTTGAGGGTACACTAAGCAAAATATTACTTTTATTCTAATGAATACATATGTGTCGATATATTTTACTTACTACCTACCTTTAGACTTTTTTATAAACTGGTTTTTAATTTTCCCCACGCAGCCAATACACTTATTTAAATGTTTCTCCATCCTACTGGAATTGTCAAAAATTGTTTTTGAGCAGAAATTACATTTATGATTTTTACTCGACTCAGAAAAATATAACCAAACCGTTGATTTTGGCGGCATACTTCATTCATAAACTATTTGTGTATTAAATATTAAATTAAGAATCAACTGATTACTATTTACTAAACTTTAACTTTGCCAAAAATAATAAAATATGGACATATAAGAGGTTATATTTTTAAAATTTAAATGTCAGATTCAGTTAAACAATTACCAACAAAATTGCAAGAAAATGGCTAAATATCTTTAATTTACCAACCTCAAAAATTTTTTGCGGGAATTATGAATGCAACAATAATTCCGCACATGCACATACAACTTTTCAATCTTGAAGTGTCCTCTATATAGACAAGTCTACTTTTCACGACATGTCCAATGGACATGTTCAGCTGACATGTCCGCGGCACATCTTTAAAGTTTTGAATGTGAAAAATAAAATTTCCAGTTTGAAACATGAAATTCTTGGTTTTAATTTGAGATTTTGGTTTTAAATTTGAATGTTTGAGTCTGAACATGAAATTTTGACTTGCTTGGTGTCACAAACTCAAAATTTCAAATTTAAACTCGAAATTTTCACTCGACAGGCTCTTTTAAAGGAAAAGTTTTGCCTGTACCGTGAGCTTACCGTAAGATTGCCACTGTCATGGACTTTCATTTTTGAACACGGTCAATATTTTTACGATCATTTTTTCCTACACCAAAATATACAGGGTGTTTATTAAGTACTTGTACAAACTTTAAAGGGTGAATCTTTGATTAATTTTAAGATAAAACGTTCATATGAACGTGGGTCCTCAACTGGTTGGTTCTTGAGATACAGAGCCTCCAAAAAAATTTTTTGTTTGGTATTTTGATTATAATTTTGTTCAGTAACATGGCAATTTGACAAAATTCGGGAAACTGGGAGTATTTATGATGAGAAACTAAAATATTTACCTTACTTTTTTGTTTAATGTTAGGGGCGCCATACAGTGTTGTACCTAGATTTAAGTAAGCATAACTTTTTGTGTCACTGTATGTCATTTTTGACTAAACATACGTATTCTCCATCCAATTTTACATACAAAAAATACTCTTAGTATTTGTCGCTGAGAGCAGCCGTTTTGTAAAAAAAACGGGTTTAAAGTTAAACCTGCGTTGGAATTTTGTAATATTTTGAAAAAACAAGTAAAAAAATGTGTCTTATTGATTGTATTGCATTATGACAAATTTAGATCATTTGCAAGACTAAGACGACTAAACTACTTCTACAAATAACAATAAACCAATTTTTTTTTCGATGCCCTGTATCTCAAGAACCAAGCCGTTACAAACCCATATTCATATGAACTTTTTATCTTAAAATTAGTCAGATAATCACCCTTTAAAGTTTGTACAGGTACTTAATAAACACCCTGTATACTAAACTTTGACCAAAAGAATAAAGATATTTCTAGCATTTCCAACCAGATTTAAAAAAAAATCCGGTTTAGACATATAAGTTCTCTGCTAATTTCCACTTTTCAATAATTTTTTACAATTTTGTTGTGAACCAATGTAAATATGTATATCCGTCATGGCCGCCACAAAATTTGAACCGAAGCCCTAATCAGCACTGAATTACTACTACGACTGCGACATTAGCCTTACTTCCATAGTAGCTACAGATTAGAAGGTTGCGCTCTGCCAACAGACAAAGTAATGTCTTCTACCTATTGTAATTTTATAATTCTCCACATAATTCTTGTACCTACCTATACATTTTATTGACATCAGCATGTAATCAATTAACTAGCCTATTTTTATTCATAATGTAAGCTTATATAAATCAATTGATTTATAGTTTGGAGACTGCTATAACAGAAAAGTTATCGGAAGTTGTTGGTAAAACTCAAATTAATAAAAACAAATGTACTGGTTTAAAACAAACGACAATTGATACATTTAAAAAAAATTATATATTGCATATGTCATTGTAAGCTTTAAAAAATGACGAGTTTTATGTTAATCTCGTAAAAATAACATGCTATAATGAAAACGTAAAAAAATTAAGTTAATAAAGCATATTTAAAAAAATTTATAATTTATTTTATTTCAATATATTTCGCCTAAAAATGGACATTTTCCACTGTACATTTGCTGTCAATTGTAGGGAGAACACACTGTACTAGAACAATTTGAACAAACAAAAAATTTGAACAATTAAAAAACATTAACAACTTTTACTTCTAGCGCCATCTAACATTGTCTCATGTAAGTTAAAAAGATACAAAAGGACTAGTTGATGTGTTCTATCATCGGTTATATACAATATAAAATTTTTTTAAAAGTTGGGGAAAATCAGTCTGTCTGTATATCTCAACAAGCAGAAGTGCATTCAGAAAAACTCGTCAAAAATGATCACCGATACGTGACCAATCAGTTAGCGATAATTTCCGATTTTTTATAAAATATTTTCTCCATTTCTTTTCAATTAAATTTTTTAAATTTTTTATTTCATTAACTTTTAGAAAAAAAGGAAAGTAAGTCCTCTTAACTAACATTTAACATTTTTTTTGGTTTTATTTTTCTTTTTTATTTCACCACTAGGTTTGTTTTTTCCAGAAACTAGGCATTTTAAATATTAAAATTACATTGAATCATAAAAAATGGATTTCTTTATTTCTCTCACTAAGTACAGGTTCAAAATATCGACTACGATATATATATTAAAACATTAAATGTACACATTAAAAACAAAGCCATAACTACATCTTAGAAAAATATATAAAAGTTTAACTTATGGCACCTTTCGTTAATAAGTTATAAAATAAAATAATTTAAAAACAATTTTAATAGCTTTGGGAATGTTAAAAAATATACATAAATTTACATATTTCACTAAGAACATTACCATTTTTTCAATAAAGTAAGCCCAAAAGTTGAAACGAAATTGTTACAATAAAAAGCTTCTAGAAAATAAAATAGGAAGAATAATTTGGTGCGATTGGCTTGGCAAGACGAAAACTGGCTTTGAAAATATTCCCTGTTAAAGCAGTTTGAAATATTTAAAATACAAAACAATTTTTTTTTTATACTTTGAAGAAAAACATACGTAAAACTTACATATTGAAAGTGACCGTTTTTTGACTGTTACTGTTCTTCACGTTGTTCAACAAAGCCGCTTCGAAAGCCTGCAGAGATTTGTTGACCCTAGCAAACAACAAACTCAAATTGTTCTCGTTCTCTAAAGGTTGCAAACTAGACAACGTCTGGTAGATTTGGTTCATCGAGCTGGTGATCTCCGCCTTGCTCATCCTCTTGGCAGGTTTTATCACTTTCGTCCACTTCAGATTACTCACAAAGTCACTGATATTCTCAAAACTACTCACGTCCAACTTACTCAGCAACAATGAAGATTGTTTTCTGTTGGACGGGTCTGTTATAACCATAGAATCCGAAGTGAACGTGCAGAGGAGTCCGTTTTTCTGGCACCAATTTTTTATATTGTCCAAAATGTCACTTTGACACACCATATCGTTTTCGTCTGTTAATACACCTTCCAATTCTTCCAAAAAGTTTGTTCTGTAGGGAGACAAGCTAACGTCGCTGCTGGCGGTGTTCATTACTCGAACTTTGGATTCCAGTTCTGCTTTGTATTTTTCGGCTTCGGCGAGTTCCTTCAGTTGGGTCTCTCTGGTCTCCATAAACCTCCGTTCCCAATTCCTCTGCGCCTCAAACAACTTATTTTCTGTTTCCGTTAGTTTATTTCGTAGCTCATCTAGTTGTTCGCTGTTACTGTCATTAATTAAAATTAAAGACGATGACGACAGAGACGATCTTTCGTAGTCCTGACGCAAAGCTCTTAATCGCTCGACTTCAAGTCTCAATTCTCGAATGAGGCGATCGTGCGGACTCTCGTTCACCCGAGCCCTATTCACTATTGATCTCGCTTGACAGGCGTATCTCAGAGTAGCTAAAGTTTCTTCCAAATGGTTGCCGGCTGGTGATATGGTGGCCAACATGGAAGTAAGTGAGTTTCCCCCTAAACTTTCCTGCAAAAAAAAGTTAAGTAACATCTCCCTTTATTTTTTTATATTTTGGTGAAGGAGTAATAATTATCTTCACAAATTAAAGTTATTTACTACCAAAAATATTTTCAGCTTTACTTTCATAATTTACAATATCTTCATATGAAAAGAGTTAGTTGAGTAACCAAAAAATAATATTTAATACGTTATTAAACTTACCCTCAGTAGCCACGTTAAAACCGAGTCCCGATACGGCACAAACTGGTTTTTCTTCTGGTCAGCCAAAGCAGAAATAACTTTCCCTAAAGTCAACAGAGATTTATTAATGCAGACACCTTCTCGTATCTTCTCTTCGCTGTTGTGTGAATTTCCCAGCCTTTCGCTTCCAGCCAAATCGACTAGACTAACCTTACTCCTTCTACTGACGTCTTTATTCTTCAACCCTTCCGACAAGCTTAATTCTATAGAAAAGATGCTGTGAGACCTTGACGATTTCTCATTCATACTAGTGGCCGCTGTTGCTCTGTTCTTATTGCCCAATAACAACCAATTTCTTAATTCCTTGTAAGTTTTGACTGTGTGTACACTTAAATCGACTACGTAAGGCCCCCACACAGGGTGCTCTCTAACTTTTAGTGGCGTTCTACTGTTAGATATGCCACTTGCTAGTAAATCGTGGATTTTCTCATTGTAAATTTCGAAGTAACTTACTTCTACAGTAGCTATCCAACCTTTACTCAAGGTTTCTACCCGTTCAAACAAATCCCTGCAAAATCTTGGTGTTATGCCCGAGTACTGATCTGAATCAATGTCAACTATTTCACACATATTCTTGCCCATCATACTAAAACTTTTTCCTGAACCTGTTTGGCCGTAAGCAAAAAGACAGGCATTGTATCCACGAAATGCACTGTTAAGTAACGGTTTACCGATGGTCATAAATACGTCTTCTTGAGTAGCGTATACTGGGTTACATTCATCGCAAGACCAAAGTATGTGATCGTACTGAAAGATATGATCCATACTCATACCAGAAGTAGCATTTGGTTGGGATCTTATAATCAGTTCGTTATCTCGAACTCTGACGACATCTGTAGCCCCTACACAGGCAAGTTCTTTGGCATTCATAGGACGAATTCTTACTGCTACAGTAAGATTACTTACTTCATCAAATTTGTCCTTACTGCTTCGTCTCTTGGAAGACGAAATGGGGGTTTCTAAAGTTACATTACTAAAACACTCTGGAGTGTCAGATGAAGATTCCAGTTTTCTTGATTTTGGAGTAGAGTAACTGCTTTTTGGTGTGGCAAATTGGCTTCTTGGTGTATTTTGTGCTTTTTCAATCAGGCCGGGTGTTCGTGATGTTCCTAACCTTCTAGGAGTTGCGAAATTATTTTTGGGGGTACCAGAAGCTGATAAAGCCATAGCTTATATTTTTTTACACATGCAAAATTGTACACCTAATTATAGGCATGTATATAGCTTTAAAGAACTACAATATGAAAATATCTTAAATGCAATATAAAAATTTAACCGTTTAAAAGGTATTCAAATATTTCAAACATCTGTCAACAGTAACAACAAGAGCGCAAGCGCTCTGGTGGCAAATTTCAAAAATTGAAAATGTCATAACTTCGAAGTAACAATAAAGGGAATGAATATTCACAACCTGTGTAGGACATATGTCCATTGCTTATAACGCCAAACAAGTTTACACATATTTAGATTTTTAAAGAGTTATAATATCATATACCATTCAGTTAGCCGAATCTTATATTTATGATAGTATAATAGATAATAATAATCTCAGTTCCTAGCGGGCAGCCGACCAGAGCACACGTGTTTTGTGAAAGTGTAGTGCAAGGAGCAAATTCTACCTGCCTTTATTAAGGCTACCTGGAAAGAATCCCTTTCTTTCCTTTTAATCACCGACCTAATCCCCGGCTTAAGCATAGACGCCGTCGGCATCTTTGTTACAGCACCTGTGCCGGGGTTATGCCCAGGTAAGTTTTTACTTATTTATCAGTTATTTGCATTACTTTAGAATACATTTCTTTAAAATTGCGACCCCCGACAAACAATATACCAGACAGACAAATACACCAAAAGACACGTACGCCCCCGTGAGGGGGCATCCCCACACGACTAACACTTACACACCTTCCC